TTAAAAATAAAAAGTTTGAACTCTTTATCATGATTCCATGGATAATGTTGTCAAATTGAGGTTCCATTTAATTCTGTAACTCTATATTGTGGGCATCTATTCCTGGCCACAAAGAGGTCTAATAACAGGATGAGGATGCCTATATTAATCAGAGCCATTCAACACAGAACTCATAAATGTGTACCACACCATACCTACTGTGGACACACTCTATTTTTGTACTTAGTATCTTGTACTGGGCACATCTGTCTCTTCTGTGAATTTCCAGAGCATTAAGTGCTATCTCTACATCCACAGTGTCTTGTTTCTGGAATAATGTAGTAATTCATGTTTACTCAATTAAATGAATGAGCTCTTTTAGAACTAACTGTAAAATACTGTCAAGAAAAAAAATATATATGCTATGGACTGTTGGTAGCACTTTAAAATTTGAACATATATTTTTCACACAGATGTTTTGTGTTACCTGCTTATGTAGTTTTCTAAATAAAAAGTATGAGATGCAAAAGAGCTTTATAGGATGCTTTTGAGCTTCCTCTCATTTCTGCGTCCCTCTGGGTTTCTTTTCCCTGCTATTGTTTCTTTTTTCTTGCTATAGTTTAACTTTTACTCCTTTCTCTTTTCTTTTTTTCTTCGAGTGATCAAAACATTGCATTGCAGCGTAAGATTCAAACAAGCTCTAAAGGTAAAATCAAAAATATTGACTTGCCATTGCTATGGTAAGCTGTTAGGTGCATTCTCAAACAAAGTGCATTCTCACAGAGAAATGTGCATCAGCTGTATTCTGGATCTCCAGCTACGCAGAGGGAAATCCTGACACTTTCCCAGAGGCCTCAGGAAAGAGGTTGGGGGAAGGACGTGGGATTTACAAGAACAGGAGAAGGCAATGACCACAGGCATAAGTCAGGAAACCTGGGTCCTAGACTTCATTTCTAACTGTCCATAAATTATTAAACCAGTCTGGGTCTAAAAGTAAGATGAGGGGGTCAGACCAGATGATTTTTTAAGACCTCTTATCCCAGATTTCTCCACAGCAGCACTGCTGACATTTTGGACTGGGTACATAATTTGTTGTGGGGATGGGTTCTGTCCTGTGTATTGTAGGGTATTTAGCAGCATTTCTACCATCTGCCCACCAGATGCCAGCAGTACCCCCCCACACACTCCAGAATGACAATCAGAAACCATCGCAGACATTGCCACATGCCCCCGGAACAAAATCCCTGCTGACTGAGAACCGCTGCCCTCAAGTTCCTTCATGGCAAATGCCTTATTGTCAAGTTGCAAACTCCTCAGTTTTTCCACATTTTTTTTTCAGACAGTTCCATCTCTCTCTTGAGTATTTTTAAACAGTGAAATACACTCTCCAAGTTCTTCTTTTCCCTCATTACAGATGTAGCAACCAGTTTGTACAGGTACTGTATAGACACGTGTTAGAAATTGACCTCTGACCAGAGATGAAGTAAGCAGGCGACTGTAAAATTCCTGGCAGAGGCTCATCAAGAACATGAGCTCGTGAACGGTAACGGACATTGGACTAGAGCTTATTTCCAGTCCATTGGCATAGAATCAGAAGCGTGACCTGCCAGTGATTGTGGTGAAGACCAGCATTTCCTTGGCTTCCTCATCCTTCCCCGTCCTTTGGCATTATTAACCTTTAGTATTTTCATTCTTGAACTGTGCTTCTCCAAAACCCAGATGTAAACAGGCAAACAAATGCTTCGATATACCTATTATATTTAGGTGGCAAGAGCTTGGAATATATAATATAAACATTATCTTCTATTTATATTTTTCTGTGAATGTACAGATATATTTGTTTCTGTTCTCATTTAGGAAAATAACTTGCTTGCAATTAAAAAACAACAGCAACTACCCCACCTTAAATTCTATGACCTCCTCCTTTAGTAGCTAAGTGTTTAGCTTGACGCCATGTGTCATCTGATTGCATTGTTCTAGTAGGAGTTTTGGTTTTGCACAGTGCTGTGGTGGCAAAGTGTCTTTTAAGGGTTATGGATACTGAAGAGAAGCAATATGTTCAAAACTTCCCCGTCCTTTGGCATTATTAACCTTTAGTATTTTCTATCCCATAGCTTGTGAGAATAATTATAATGACAGCAAGAAGACTAGTCACTGGCATGCGATGCTTTCTTTTTTTCTTTTAGTAATATTTGTCATGGGAGATACAGCTTTACCTCCCAGAGTCCATGAATAGCACCTGTGTAAAAGGTTCTAGGTTATGAGGAAGTAAACTGACATAAGCCATTAAGGGTTCTCTTTAATTTCTGGCAGTTCACATTATAATATGTGTTTCTAGTTGTATCCCAGATGTGCATAGTCTTTTCCCTTGAGATCTTTCCACTCCCCAAAGCTGTATTCTTAGATTTGGTAGCTTTCAGACTCAGTGGTGAGAGTCACATCTGCTGCAGGTGTGATTTCAGAGTCATCTTCAAGGAGGACAATGTGGTGAAGAGCAGCGCCAGAGGTGGTGTGTGTGTGTTGGGCGGGAGGAAGGGGGTGGGGGGGCAAAGGGGGCCGAGTAGCACCTGCACAGGCCTGCAGGACAGCGCTGTGCTGGAGCCTGGCTCTGTCCCCACTAAATGTGGCTGTAGGCACGCCAGGTTATTTAGCTAGACTTCAACCTCTGTAATATACAGGTAGGTTCGAAGGACCTCCAGTGACTATCTTAACTCTGATTCCCTCCATATCCCTAATTTAAAAGTCACTGAACATACATTCGCGTCTATTTTTTACCTCTCTGGCCTCCTCCAACCTTCTTTCTTGTTACTACAATTAGAGATGTCGGATTGTAGACAACGTCTGAAACATAAGTACATTTAGTTTTCACTCTGCGTTTAAATAATTCCAAAGCTCTCTTTTACATCACGATTTCTAGTTCTTTACTTCTTCATTTGAATCATCCTTTCTCATGACTTTGAGGGTGTGTGTTTTTTTTCAGGAAGGGTACACAGCATATTTTCTGACACCTCGAGTATTTGAAAAATTCTACTGGCTTCATCTACATGCACATCTATGTAGCTAGTTGTGGAATTCATACATCCATTGTAACATGTATTTTTTTTCTCAAAATCATGCAAATTTGCCCCATTTTATTCTCACACTTACTGTTCTTTCAAGTGACATATATTTTTTAAACTAAGAACTTTTTTCATTCTGTATCTGTAAATCCCACAAGAACAGGGTGCTGTACCTTTCACAATACTGACATACTGGGCACTGAAATAGCTTTTGACTTGCTTCTCTTTCATTCATTGATTCTAGTTTATCATTTACTGAGATTCTTCTTTGACTTCCATGTCCTGTCTTTCCTCTTGTCCTTATCTTAATTTCTTTATCCTTTTGCTCTACATTCCAGGTAGTCTCTTGGCTTTTCCATATAAACCTTATATACCAGTGATTATATTTTAGTCATTGTCAGGTCTGTTCTTTGTTGCTTGCAAAGATTTACATCCTACTACTGAGGTTTTAGTTCTTTGATTTATTTTCTTTTTAATCTCATTCTGGTACCTTTTCATTTTAGATTGTTGTGTTTTTATTTTATCCTGATTCTTTTTTAATAATTTTATCTTGTCAAATAGGCTTTTGTTTTACCAATATATTTAAAGAATACTAGACAAATATTTTCTAAACTATTTTCTGAAATAGGTTATCAAAGGGATTTATTTCCTCCACTATTTCAGGTGAATTCTTTCCTAACTTTCTTTTCTGTTTGTTCATCCCTTAACAGGGAAAGCAATATATATTTAGACTTTGTATCTTTCCAGTAGATTTAAAATAGAGAGATTACTAGAATTTAAAGGAACTTTGAAAGAAAAGGAAAGAAAGAATTAGCCTCAGGACTAAAGTAAAGGTGATTGAAAAGTGCCAGAGAAGCCCATCCTCTAAAACAACGCTCCTTTAGGTACCGGATCCTCGGAACTAAGCAGGGGAGCTCAGTGGGATGCAGATGTCATCAGTGCTGTCATT